CAACTAAGTGTGGACAAAACTTAACCTTTTTTTTTAAAAAAAAAAAAAAGTGCATTATTCTTATGAATGGATTATAAATTTTTACTTACTTTGAGTTTTTAAAGTGTACAAAATTTATCACTACTAATCGCTTAAACTTAATTATCTTTATTATTTTTCTATCTTTAGAAAATTAGAAAAACAACTTTAAATTATAAGTACATCCACCTAATGGTAAATAAAAGTATTACTTCTAGGTCTTTGTTATGATAGAGCTTAAACTAGCAAATATGATATAGTTCCTTTTAATAGTAATCAAAGATGTTTCCTTGTCTCTCGTTTTTTTTCTGGGAAAAAAAAATAATCTACTGGATCGAACTCATATGTTGTACCTGGTCATTTAAATCAGATCTCTATTTCGGTACAACGATATGTGACCCTGAAGGTGTATTTATTTTTGGAGAAATGACACTATATAGCCGCTATAAAAATAATATTCGAAAAATGTAAAATTTATATATATATATATATATATATATATACACACACACACACAAAAATTATACAAAATCTACGGTAGAAGAGAAGGTTCAATCGGAACAATTATTTATTTCAGTTTAGGGTTCCTCGTCTCTTTTTTTTAGTTTACGGTCAGATGAATGAATCGCCGTGAGCTCGTATGAGAGTTGGTTTGACTGCCCTAACTATGGCGGAATATTTTCGAGATGTTAATGAACAAGACGTACTTCTATTTATTGAATATTGACCATATCTTCCGTTTCTTCCAAGCAGGATCCGAAGTATCGGCCTCATTGGGTAGAATGCCTTCCGCTATGGGTTATCAACCCACCCTGAGTACCGAAATGGATTCTTTACTTTATACATTTTTTCGGCTACCAGATATAAATAGTTTCTGGCGCGGATTAAAAGTGAAAATATCCCTTTATTTTTTATAAAGAACATATAATATATCATAACATGAAAAATTGGTTCCAAAGAAAAATTGACCGTTACAGTAAAGTAATTTTATATAGTATGACTGTTATAGAAAGGTCTCTAACCGTACCACTTTCCAAAAAAATATTCTAAGGAAGTGCCATGGCAAAGTGGTAGAGGTCTGAAAGTTGGCTGTGCACACATCCTAGAACTCTCTAGAAGACCAATTAAGAAGACCAGGAAGATGAACAAAACGAAGAAGAAGAAGATATGGAAGAATTGAATTGTGTGGTCATCTTGACAAAATTAAAGAAAATTCTGTGGTCACCTTTACTTGACTCCGAAATTCCCGGGGGAATGTGCGACTACGAAATTTTGGCAAAAACTTTCAGCTCATTGTAGACATTTAATTATAGCCTTTTCTTTAAAGTTCTTAGTTGTCAAAAAGAAAAAATGAAAAAAGATTATATAGTGTCTCTATTTTCTTAGCTGTTAATTCAACACATCCCGCAATCGGAGAAAAATATAACTGCAACGTTGATAATTATGGTTTAAAGCTCAACAAAAGTTTATAGTAGATGAGTCTTCTTGTTGAAATTTTGGAGTTTTCTGATACCTGTACCAGTAAAAAGTAAAATTACCATTATTTTAAAAAGAACAGAAATTATTAGCTGTTCATCGACCTTTGCCGTCCCATTTGGCATGGCAGGGATAAGAAAAGGATAGCACCTATACCAACAATTTTTTCTGTGCAAAGTAAAGTTTGAATCAGTGTTTTAAAAGGCGTGAGCGTAGGGCGAGGCCTTTTACATATGTCTCAGTGAGGAATAAGCCCCGAGACACTAAGCATAAGCCCCATGGGTATTTAATTTTTAATATTTTATAAAATAATATAATTACAGTAAATATTTATAAACAGGTAAAATTGCATAAAAATTGAAGAAAATTATAAATATGAAAAAATATATATATAGATGTGCTCCATTCCCACAAAAAACTAGTCAAAACAATTTATTATACGCCACTTACAAGCACAAAGTAATAGCTTGAGTCGAAAAGAATAAAGTTTTCTACATGGAGGAACAAAAAGGATGACTAGCCTACAATTTGAACTTTGAACGTCCTGCTATGAAGAATAATGGAGTTCTCTTTGTATTTGTAAAAAAAAAAAATTGTATATTCGTTGCTTTTGCGAGATATTAGCAGATCAACAGACAAGATAAAGAATTGAGAAAGACCATAAATTAGGCTAGAATCAATAAAAAATGTCTTGACTTTTAAATTTAATACATGTCATTTCCTTTTTAAAACTTTTGTGTAATTACAAGCTGACTTTTGAGAATTTGGGTATTATATGAAGGACTTATTCAATAAAAACGCGTCTCAAACGCCCGGGCATACGCCTCAAATTGTTGGCGTACGCCTCTTGAGACTTTCGCCCCACACCATCGCCTCAAGACATTTTTGGTGCGCCTCGCCCAGGACTCGCCCCGAGAACGCCTTTTAAAACACTGGTTTGAATAACAAATAAAGATGTCAATACACAGTCTAGTAAAAGTTAAATGATGTAAGTATTCGCTTCTACCATCACAAAATTGTTAGGACCATTTGCCAAATGTTGCCTTACTGATTTTCCAACGGCGTGATTTTTACAAAGAAAAATGGTTGTTTATAACTCTCTTTTGTCAGTTTCACAAGTTTCAATAGTGTTGTTGTGGTCCATATGAGGTGTTACTAGGTGGCAAGAAAGGGAAATGTCCTTTCATATACAGCAGTATAAATAGAAATAATTATATGTTTTTGATTTCATATTTGGGCAAATATGAAAGTTAGTATAGGTAAAAAAAACTGTTTTTTGTTAAGAAATGAGAGCAAAATAGAACAATATAGTAATAGAGACAAGATGTATAGGAGGAGAATGTAGAAGTTATCTTATTCAAGTGTGTTTCTTGTGTGTTCTTCATAGGATAAAGAATACCCTATTTATAGGATATAAGATACATGAAAGGTTACAAGAATACACCTAAAGGTTACAAATATTAAGTGATGAATTAACTAAGTACATGAACTCAAATGGTTCATGGAATAGGGATGTCTAGGAGTATTCAATGGACATCCACTCTAACATATTCATAACACTCCCCCTTGGATGTCCATCTAAAAGATACTGTGCCTCGTTAAAACCTTACTAGGAAAACCCAGTGGGAAAAAGCCTAGTGAAGGAAAAAGAGTACACATATCTTGTAATACGCATTGAGTGCTGCCTCATTAAAAACCTTACCAGAAAAACCCACTTGAGACAAAACCTTGGTTAAGGGAAAAAGAGTACAACGCGTATTATATCTCGGAGATGACGCATTCCAATCTTATGTCTCGGCTTCTCAAATATTGATGTTGGCAATTCCTTAGTGAATAAGTCTGCTAGATTGTCACTTGAACGGATTTGTTAAACATCTATCTCACCATTTTGCTGAAGATCGTGTGTGAAAAAGAAATTTGGTGAAATGTGCTTTGTTCTGTCTCCTTTGATATATCCTCCTTTAAGTTGAGCAATGCAAGCAGCATTGTCTTCATACAATATCGTTGGAATCTTCGTTTTTAAAGAAAGACCACACAATTGTTGAATATGTTGAGTCACTGATCTCAACCATACACATTCTCGACTAGCTTCATGAATAGCTATTATCTCTGCATGATTGGAAGATGTAGCAGCTAAAGTTTGTTTTGTTGAACGCCATGAAATAGCTGTACCCCCACAAGTAAATAGATAGCCTGTTTGAGATCGGGCTTTATGTGGGTCAGTCGAATAACCTGCATCTGCATAACCAATCAATTGTGAATCGGATTCATAAGAATAAAATAATCCCATATCAATAGTCCCTCGGAGGTATCTAAAAATATGTTTAACACCATTCCAGTGTCTTGTTGTTGGAAAGGAACTAAATCTTGCTAATAAACTTACTGCAAAAGTTATATCTGGTCGAGTATTATTTGCAAGATACATTAGTGCCCCAATTGCACTAAGATATGAAGTTTCATCACCAAGAAGCTCTCCATCATTTTCATGAGGTCGGAATGGATCTTTATTTATATCAAGTGATCTCACAACCATCGGGGTACTCACTGGATGTGCTTTATCCATATAAAAATGCTTTAGGATCTTTTCGGTGTAAGTTAATTGATGGACAAAAATTCCATTATTTATATGCTCAATTTTTAGACCAAGACAAAATTTTGTCTTTCCAAGATCTTACATTTCAAACTCTTTCTTCAAACAGTCTACTGCTTTTGGAAGTTCCCCAGGAGTTCCGATGATATTTAGATCATCAACATACACAACGATTATAACAAATTCCGATCCAGACCTTCTTATAAATACACAGGGACAAATTGGATCATTCTTATACCTTTCTTTCAGCAAATACTCACTTAGGCGATTATACCACATTCGCCCTAATTGTTTCAATTCGTATAAGGATTTTTGAAGCTTTATTGAACAAGTTTCCCGAAAATTTTTATTAGTTTCAGGAACTTTAAGCCCTTCGGGGATTTTCATACAAATTTCGTTATCTAATGTGCCATACAAGTAGGCTGTGACAACATCCATTAGACACCAAATCAAGTTTTTCATGGACTGCCAAATTTATAAGATATCTGAAAGTGATTGCATCAACCACAGGAGAATATGTCTCCATATAATCAATGCCAGGTCTTTGCGAAAATCCTTGTGCCACCAGTCGTGCTTTATATCTAACGACTTCAATTTTATCATTTTGTTTTCGCACAAAAACCCATTTGTATCCCACTGGCTTTATTCCTTCAGGTGTTCGTACTATACGTCCGAATAATTTACGTTTTTCAAGTGACGCTAATTCTGCCTGGATAGCGTCTTTCCATTTTGGCCAATCATTTCTCTGCCTACATTCACCGATAGATCTTGGTTCAATACCATCATCTTGTTGCATTATTTCAACAGCAACATTATAAGCAAAAATGTTGTCGGCAATAATATTATTTCGGTTCCACCTTTTTGCCGTAGTGACATAACTTATTGAGATCTCTTCATTCTTATTATTTTCAGGTACCTAGACCTCCTCTGAGGTCTTATCATTTGTTATGTCACAAGGCTCTTTTCGAGCAATTGCCTCCATATTATGATCTCCTAGATCATTTACTCCTTTTTGCTTTCGAGGATTTTTATCTTTGGAACCAATTGGTCTACCACGTTTCAAGCGTGGCTTAGACCCATTTGTATTTATAGATTGTCCAACTCGGAAATCAATTTGAATAGGAGCATTAGCAGCTGGAATATGTGATTTAGTCACTCTTGGTAGGTTAGTGAATGCATCTGGCAGTTGATTTGCAATATTTTGCAAATAAATTATCTTTTGAACCTCATGTTTACATTGCTTTGTTCGAGGATCTAAATGAGATAGTGATAATGCATTCCAATCTATCTCCTTTTGCAATTTCTTATTTTCTCCCCGTAATATTGGGTATACTGATTCATCAGAATGGCAATCAGCAAATCTTGCCGTAAATAAATCTCCAGTCATAGGTTCCAAATATTTTATAATAGAAGGAGATTCATACCCAACATATATCCCCAATCTTCTTTGGGGTCCCATCTTTGTGCGTTGTGGTGGAGCAATTGGAACATATACTGCACATCCAAATATTCTAAGATGGGAAATATTTGGCTCCTGAC